GAGAAAGAGGAGGAGGAGGGGGAGGCGGAGGAGGAGGAAAAGGAGGAGGAGGAGGAGGAGGAGGAGGCGGAGGAGGAGGAGGAGAGGAGGAGAGGAACGCGGGAGACTGTCTCTTCAAAGCGAAGACCCAGCACCGCAGGGTGGTTGTGAATCATTGCGGCTTATATGCCCCCCAAGAAGCCTTCACGGTGCCTCCAAGGTGCCCCCCCCAACATGTCCTCAAACCTGTTTCCAACATGCTTCCCGAACCCTACCTTTTAAGCACATGTGTTGCCAACACACATCGCTCTTTCGCGCTTTAAGATGGTGGTTTCCACATGGCTTCTGACGCGCCCAACATGCCCTGAAGAGGGCCTGAGAGTGCCCGAAGAGGGCCACCCAGAGGGCCTCAAATCCCAATATGTAGATATCTTGGAGTGCCCATTCGTGTCCGCGTGTGCGTGCCTCCTGCCACTCTGCTTTCCAAGTTCTCTTCCAAAACCCGTTGTTCAGAGGTTGCCCAGGTGTGCGCTAGACGCTAGACCCTAAGCGCGCGCGAAGCGCGTGTGGTTCTAATCTAGGTGTGTGTGTGTATATATACACATGTATGTACACGTGTGCGTGCCGTGCGTCGTGAGTCGTCTGTTGTGTGTTGTGTGTGAGTGTGTGTCGTGTGTGTGCGTGTGTGTGTGTGTGTCTGTGTGTGTGTGTGAATGTGTGTGTGTGTGTGTGTGTGTGTGTGCGCGTGACTGTCTTTTATGTGTTGCGTGTTTGTTTGTGTGTGTTGTGTGTGTTGTGTGTGTGTGTGTTGTGTGTGTGTTGAGTGTGTGTGTGTGTGTGTGGGTGTTGTGTTTGACGTGTGTATATGCTGTGTGTGCCCCGCTCACGGGAGGAGCCGACCCACAGGCTCGCGTCCCAGGCGGCGTGGGAGGGGGTGCGCATCCTCGGCGTGCAGCGCTGTTGGTGTCGAGCGGACGCTCGCTGAGGAAGAAGTGTGAGCGTGCGCGCGCCTGTGTGTGTGTGTGTGTGTGTGAGTGTGTGCGTGCGTGCGTGCGTGCGCGCGTGCGTGCGTGCTTATGTGCACGCGCGCGCGGCGTGTGTGTGGTGTGGTGTGTGTGTGTGTGGTGCGTGCGTGTGTGTGTGTGTGTGTGTGTGTGTGTGTGTGCGTGCGTGCGTGCGTGCCGTGCGTGTGTGTGTGTATGTGTGTGTGTGTGTGAGAGTGTGTGTGTGTGTGTGTGTTTGTGCGCGCGTGTTTGTGTGTGTGTGTGTGTTTGTGTGTGTGTGTGCGCGCGTTGTATGCGTGCGTGAGAAAGAGGGAGAGAGAGAGAGAGTGTGTGTTGTGTGTTGTGTGTGTGTGTTGTGTGTGGGTGTGGTGTGTGTTGTGTGTGTGAGAGAGTGTGTTTGTGTGGTTGTGTGCTCCTGCGTGTGTGTCTTGTGGTGTGTGTGTGTGTATGTGTGGCGCGCGCGCGTGTGTGTGCGTGTGTGTGTGTGGGTGTGTGTGCGTGTGTCGTGGGTCGTGGGTCGTGGGTCGTGTGTTGCCGTGTTGTGTGTTGTGTGTCGTATGTGGTGTGTGTGTGTGTGTGTTTCGTGTGACTGTGTGTGTGTGTTATCTGCGTGTGTGTTGGGTGTGGTTGTGTGTGTGTTGCGTGTTATGTTTGTATCTGTATATATATATATATATATATATATATATGTATATTTGTATTGTACGTCTGTGCCTTGTGTGTGTGTGCGTGTATGTTGTGTGCTCCCCGCTCACGCGAGGAGCCGACCTACAGGCTCGCTTCCCAAGCGGCGTGGGAGAGGGTGCGCATCCTCGGCGTGCAGCGCGTCGAGAACGGCCCGCAGGAGGAGGGCGCTTCCCGGCCGTACTGCGAGTCCCTGCGCAGGCCTTGGGGCGGGCGATGGCTCGGATCTCCGCGGGGGCTGCTCAGTGGATGGGTGGCCTGCAGGTGGGTGCTACGGTGGCTTAGATATGGCCTCAAACCTCGCGTCTAAGCGGGCCACAAGTGCCATGCATCGCCTGGGCGGATTTGGTGACTCTGCGGAGTGGGCGGTGCCTATTGAGCCCAGGGTTTTTGTATAACCCCTCCACAAGCCGCCCAGGGCACTTCTGACCCACTTGTAGGCTATGTGAGGCCATGTGTCAGCCACCTCGGCATCCCCTTAAGACCGATCTCTGGAGCAGCTAGCGATGGGTCTCACTGCCATGCGCAATCCGTCGCCAAGTGAGGCGGCGCTGGCTTCACGTTTCGAGGGGGATCATCTTCTCGACCCGTGGATCTGGCGCCCGCGTGCCAGATTCACGGATCCCTAATCCGAGGATTTTCTTTGGGTGGAGGGCAAAGGGTGAAATCTGAAATGCAGTTTCAATGGATTTTCGAGGCTCGAATCTGCAAAAGGTGAATCACAAGACGGACTGATCTTCGAGGTGCAAAAGCCCATATGGATTTCACCCTGAGCTCTCCACCCCAAGAAGCTGCTCAGCTAGTCTCGACTGCACGAAATCTCTTGCGTGAAGCCATCGGATCATCGGGCCGCCTCCGACACACGGCCGCTTCCGGCGCCAGGAGGCGTCGAGAAGACCAGCAACGTGGGCCGATTCGTTTTTTTGGGATCGCCGCGGGGAGGAAGCCATTCGGGGATTCAGCAGTGAGCGCTGAGGTGGTTTGTTCTGTCTGGCTTGACCTCGCTTCTGAGTGGGTTGCAGGTGTCAGAAGTGGCTGGGGGGGGAAAGGTCTGGTCGAAGTGGGCTCCGCCCCCTTGTCTTATGTCGGGCCTGTCCCCTTACAGGGAGATTTTGGGCAACAAATCAAAGATACTCAAAACATACCCCCAAAATTCTCAAACAAAGTCCAAAAATAGTCCCCAGATCATGTCTTGACTATTTTTGAAAATCCCTCGTGTAGAGAGGGACAGGCACGACTCAACCCTTGGCAGAGGTACCCAGCCCCCCTGTGTCGCGCAGGGCAGCTTTGTGCTCCTCCTCCTCCTCCTCCCCCTCCTCCTCCTCCTCCCCTTCCTCCTCCTCCTCCTCCTCCTCCTCCTCCTCCTCCGCCTCCTCCTCCTCCTCCTCCTCCGGTCGGGACAGGCACGGTCCGCTTTTTGGGTTTCTTGTGGGGGGGGGTTCTGGTGGACCGGCCCCCGCTGTACCTAGCCTCCCCTCCTCGTCCGACCCGAAGGTCCCTGACCGAACAGGGCATCGAGTTCGAGCCCGGCACGCACACCTGCTGGGCCTTCCACGGCGCCGCACCGAGCGCCATCGAGTCCATCTGGAGGGACAGAACACGACACGAGGCATAAACTTGTGGATGCCCGCTGGGGTTTTCAGGCACAGCGCTCTGGAACGCTCTCCTCTCGGACGTCGGCGTCGCAACTGTTGCGCAACGGGCATTTCTGCCGGGTCTCGGGCCTCGGGACCAACACATCGATCCGTCTCGAAAACATGGCTCAGAAAACGGGGGCAGGGCTGGTCGTGATTTTTCACGATGCTGCATTTTTTTCGCTACGTCGGATCTCAGGGAAGGGATGATCGGGATAAATCGCCCAGGGCGTTCCGGTACGCTCTCAGAGCGCTCCAGAGCGCTCTGGAGCGGCCGCGGCGCCTGAGACCTCCTCCAGACCCCCCTGCTCTCGGAGACTCCCGATTGGTCTTCAGCCGAATTCATCCTCACCCTGCCTTCGTCTTGGGCTTCTTGCGTCGGCGCCGGGCCCCAGAGGCGCCAGCAGGGGCTAGGCCAGCGCCAGTCCTGGAACTCCGCGCAGAACTCCCTAAGTTTACGCTCATGTTTTTTTTTGTTCCCCCACCATCGTCAGCGACCCAGTGGCCGGATTCCAGCCCCTCTGCGCGGGCACGCGCAACTCGACGCTGTGGGGCTCCGGAACCTACTTCGCGCGCGACGCGAAGTACGTGGCGGAGGGCAAGTTCTGTGGCGACAAGGCTCGCGACGGCAGCCGGCAGATGCTCATGTGCCTTCTCACGATTGGCGTCCCGTGCTTGGGCGATCCTCGCTACAAGGGCGTGCTGCCATTCAGGAAGAGGCCTCACCGCTACACTTGTGCCGTCGATACATTCCGCCGACATGGCATCCGTCGACCCCTTGGTTCGAATGTTTTGAGACGGTGGTCGTTTCCTGCAGACGTTGAGTGATGACATTGAGAAGAGGCTATGGACGATAGGGACCAGGAGAGGAGGGATGACGATGATACTGCTGATGATGATGATAATGATGATGATGATGCTGGTGATGATGATGATGATGATGAGGATGAGGATGAGGATGAGGATGAGGATGAGGATGAGGAGGAGGAGGAGAAGGAGGAGGAGGAGGAGGGGGGAGGAGGAGGCGGAGTGGGACAATGAGGATGGGACGGGGATGTATATACACACGCATATACAAACATACTTGTATAATCATGAGCATCTATGTTTGTATATATACACACAATATAGGTACTCATATATCAAGACCTTATGTGTACATGTGTATATACATGTATATTTGTATATGTCTGTGTTGGCGATGGGCGCCATGCACCTTGGTCCTTCAAGTTGGACGTGTAGGCGGAAGGAGAGGAAACCCAGTGTATTATATATGTTTATACATAGCGATAACTCAGTGTTGCCTCTAACGGCATCGTCGTCATAATAATGTTTTTCTCCACATCCAAAGTGAGGTTCTTGTTTTCTCTAGGCACCCTCCGCGCAGGAACCTCCCTTCCACTCTCTGCCTCACTCACGCATTCACCCCGTCACCGGTCATCATCACCATCGGTCATCACCATCACCACCATCATCATCACACGCAGTCACTCACCATCGATCACCATCACCATCGGCCATCGATCATCATCATCATCATCAGCATCACCACCACCGCCATCATCATCATCATCATCATCATCATCATCATCATCATCATCATCATCATACTCAGTCGCACATCGCACACACACACACACACTCTCTCGCTCACCGCGCAGCATAATTTTCCTGAGGCCTGAATATGGGGGAAGTATCAGGCGGGAGGCTCGGCCGTAAGTGAATTGCGAGGAAGTCTCAGGCGGGAGCCCCCTCGCTATGGGGCCAGCGCTTTATGTTTTTAATCCGAGCGGGTCATCCTCGAATTTGTAATTGTCGTCACTTTTGGGCTCCTGAGGCCTGAGTATGGGGGAAGTATCAGGCGGGAGGCTCGTCTGTGAGTGCATTGCGAGGAAGTCTCAGGCGGGAGCCCTCTCCTGATGGGGCCCGCACTTCAAGTTTTTAATCTGAGCGGGTCATCCTCGAACATGTAATTGTCGTCACTTTTGGGCTCCGGAGGTTTGAATATGCGGGAAGTATCAGGCGGGAGGTTCGTCTGTGAGTGAATTGCGAGGAAGTCTCAGGCGGGAGCCCTCCTCCTATGGGGCCCGCATTTTATGTTTTTGAGCAGAACGTGTCATCCTCGAACTTGTAATTGTCGTCACTTTTGGGTTCTTAAGGCCTGAATGTGGGGGAAGTATCAGGCGGGAGGCTCGTCTGTGAGTGCATTGCGAGGAAGTCTCAGGCGGGAGCCCTCTCCTTATGGGGCCCGCACTTCAAGTTTTTAATCCGAGCGGGTCATCCTCGCATTTGTAATTGTGGCAACTTTGGGTCTCCTGAGGCCTGAATATGGGGGAAGCATCAGGCTGGCGGCTCGTTTGTGTCCTGGAGGCTCGTTTGTGAGTGAATTGCGAGAAAGTCTCAGGCGGGAGCCCTCTCCCTGAGGGGCCCGCGTTTCATGTTTTTAATCCGAGCAGGTCATCCTCGAACTTGTAATTGTCGTAACTTTGGGTCTCCTGAGGCCTGAATATGGGGAAAGTATCAGGCTGGAGGCTCGTTTGTGAGTGAATTGCGAGGAAGTCTCAGGCGGGAGCCCCCTCCCTGAGGGGCTCGCACTTCATGTTTTCATTTCGAGCGTGTCATCCTCGAACATGTAACTGTCGTCACTTTTGGGCTCCTGAGGCCTGCATGTGGGGGAAGTATCAGGCGGGAGGCTCGTCTGTGAGTGAATTGCGAGGAAGTCTCAGGCGTGAGCCCCCTCCCTATGAGGCCCGCACTTTATGTTTTCAATCCCAGCGGGTCGTCCTCGAACCTGTAACTGTCGTCATTTTTGGGCTCCTGAGGCTTGAATGCGGGGGGGGAAGTATAAGGCGGGCGGTTCGTCTGTGAGTGAACCGTGAGGAAGTCTCAGGCGGGAGCCCCTTCCCTATGGGGCCCGCACGAGAAGGTTATTTCCAGATTAGCCGAAAGGATTTTCATGTGGGGCCTGTCCGTCGGAGTCGTTGCAATCACATCGTCTTCGGCACCGCCTGATTCCGAGGCTTGCCCCCTCCTGGCCTTGACGTGAGGCCCCTCCTTCTGCCCCCCTCTCTGTTAATTCAAGCTGTGCGCGGCCCGCTTAGCTTCGACCGGAAGAGGTGCGCTCTCGACCCGCGGATCAAAAAAGTCCGTCGGAGTAATTCTTTGTTTTCCTTCATGTTTCCGCATCCTCCTCCTCATTCTCGCCCTACCCTGCGACCCCGTCCCCATCCTCCCCAGCTCTTTTTGCGAAGGTTCCTTCTTGGAGAGCCTTTTGGGGGCCTTTCGAAAATTGTTAAGGTTCTTGCGGCCTTCTGGAGACCTTCTGGGCGCCTTCTGAGCTTCTGGGATCCTCTCGGGGGCTTCCTCGGGCCACCCTGCTTCCAACCTCGGTCTCCCTGATCGGCCAGGTCACGATTTGGAGTGCTTCTGGGGGCGCCTTGGGACCATTTTGGGCCGTCACGGGGCTCCCTTCGGGCCACGTTGGGCCCCTGTTGGGCCGTCTTGGGGCTCATTTGGACTGTCTGGAAGCCCTTTTGGGTTAGCTTGTGGCAATTGTCAGGCTCTTGGTCGGCCTCGGCGGCCCAAAAGACTGAAGAACCGAGTATTTCCGAAACCTGGCAAAACACTAAGAGTGCATACTGTTTTTGTGTGTTTCGAGGGCCTCTCGGGGGTCTTCATTGGGTCGTCTTCGGGAGTCTGGTGGACAAGCATTTTTCATCTAGGGCCCGGGAGATGACGGTTTCAAGTCAGGCGCGGACACGTATCAGAGGAACGGTGGCGGATCCAATTCAATTTGCGCGGATCCGATTGTGGTGTTGATTTGTGTTGCGGTGGATCCGATTTCTGTCTGCGCGGATCCAATCTCGGTTTTTCGGGCTCCGCATCCCGTCCGATTTTTTACGGCGGATCGGATGTTATTATTAAACAAGATCAGGGGGCCGACCGGAATCGGATGCACGGGCCCCATGCCCGCCCGTGTTAAGATTCTATGGGGGAGCGGGGGTCGGTTATCAACTTCCCAGGATGGGTCCTGCGCTGTTTCGCGCACTCCCATCAACTCTCCGCGCGCACGGGTCCCACGCAAGATGAACGCATCTCTTTCCTCCTGGTTGCTGCAAAGAACTGGTCCAGGCGCCATCCGTTCGGCGGCGCCGATGTTATCTCGCGAACTCCTCATCGCCATCGTCACTTCAAGAGGAAAATCCTTCGTCCTGCGTAAGTAGGGGCCCTCGCTGGGCCGTTCGGCCGCCCTCCTGACCGATTCGAGCTCGTTGGCTAGGCTCAGCAGGGGCGTCCAGGAGCCCCGAGAAGCCCGTGGGACCCTTTGCAAGGGCGTCCAGGGGGTCCCTAGGGCCACGGATCCGGTGGGTCCCGTCTGGGGGGGTCCCCTTCCCCCCGCCCCCCTGGGGCTGTTAAATTGTAAAAAAAAGAATACACGTACATGTGTATGCGTAGTTTTGGCTCATGATTCTATACGCGCAGACACTCACATATTATTATATCTAATTATGTGTATATAGATGGCCAGACGCAAGTGTATGTATATTCCTATAATTATACATCCTGTAAGGAAAAAACCCCCCCGGATGGCCCCCCCCCCCCCCCCAGATACCTTTTCCCCCGGTCCAACCCAGCCTTTCGAACCCCGGATGGCCATCGCCGCCACTCTTCCCTGACACGCCCAGACGCCCAGACGGCTCCCGATACCATTTTCGCCGCTCCTTCTTAGTCGCCGACTCCTTGCCAAAACACCCCAAACGGCTCAGGACGCCCCCCCGACGGCTTGAATACGGTGTACGACGGCTCTGACTGACGAGTCCCAGCCACCCTTCGGACAGCCATCCCCGTGCCCCCCGATACATGGTTCGACGCTTTTCCCGGGTTCCCGAGCCTCTGCCCACACAGCCCAGACGGCCCCTACATTGCTCAACGCTTCTCCCTGGCCACTACACTCCAAAAAAAGGCTTCGACCAAATCCACGCGACGCCCCAAAGAGCGACCACGCCTTCAAGGCTCCACGAAGGTCACACAAGGCCCCCAGCCAACTGCACAGGGCGCCAGAAAGGCGTCCAAAAGGTTTGCCTTTAGGCCTCCACCTTCCAGACAACACCCTCCCCACGACGCTGCTGCCTCCTCCTTCTCCTCCTTCTCCTCCGCTTCCTCCTCCTCCTCTTTTCCTCCTCGTCCTCCTCTTTTCCTCCTCCTCCTCCTATCTTCCTCCTCCTCCTCCACCTTCTCCTCCTTCTCCTCCTTCTCCTCGTCCTCCTCCTGCTCCCGTTCCTCCTCCTCCTCCATTTCCTCCTCCTCCTACACCGCCTTCTCCTGCTCCACCCTTTTCCACCTCCTGCTCCTTCTCCTCCCCCTCTTTCTCCTCCTCCTCCTCCTCCTCCTCCTCCTCCTCCTCCTTCTCCTCCTCCTCCTCCTCCTCCTCCTCCTCCCTCTCCCCCTCCACCTTCTCCTCCTCTTCTCCTGCTCCTCGTCCTCCTTTCCTCCTCCTCCTCCTCCTCCTCCTCCTCCTCCTCCTGCTGCAACTGCTCGTGCTCCTGCTCCTCCTCTTCGTCCTCCTCGACTCGTTCCTCCTCCTCCTCCTCCTCCACTTCCTCCTCCTCCTTCATCCTTTTCCCCCTTCTCCTCCCTCTCCTCCTCCTTCTCCCCCTCCTCCTCCTCCTACTTCTCCTCCTCTTCTCCTCTTTCTCCTCCCCCTCCTCCACCTCCTTTACCACCTCCTCCTCCTCCTCCTCCTC